GTAAATTTAGTGTATGAATTCGTCCTAACAAAATAACTTATTTAAAACTAAATGAAAGTCTCTTCTTAATACAGGTATAATGAAAGTGACATTATGCACAGTTAGGGCCCAGTTACACAGACGGTCGGTCCCCAATCGGTCATTTAATTTTAAATTTACTCGCTGTTATGATCGGTTGTCATGCGTGATTTTTTTATGGTTTTCTGTGTAAACGGCCATCGGTGACAGAAAGCAAACTCAAACGGGAATGGTTCGATGATTAAATGCTGAAATACTTTTGGTTTTTATCGTTTGTAAATCGGAGCTAAATCGGGCGTAACGCTGATTAATCGGTGTTTGATAACTAGTCATCAGTGGTTAAACACTTTCCGTCAGATATGGCCGGTGATTCATATTTGGTTATCTTTGTCCGATCGGCTTGCACATCTCGTGATATAGGTTGCCGTCGGTAATTTTTAAAATATTTTCACCGATCGAGAATTTTAGACGTGTTTAAAAATCCCAATCGGTAATTTTTCACCGATGAAACTTATCTTTCCCCAATAGCAGTTGATAGGTGGAAAACAGGTGACCAATAGGTGATATCGGTGATAAATACGTTGTCATCGGTTCACTCCATAAGTTGGCTAAAAAAAACTGCCGATCAATCACCGATGGCTCTGTGTAACTGGGGTGTTAAATGTTGATGCTGCACATCAAAGACGCCACCAAATGATGTGAACAGTCAATCAGCATTGAAACTCGTTCTCTGTTACAGTTGAGTATCCGAAGCACCATGTTCTTAGTATGTGCTGGTTGCATATTTTTGTGAAAAAGTAGAACCCAATGCATAAATTCACAAAGAAATGCCATGTCTGAAATTCTGAAATGTTTGTCTGTTGCGACAAAGATTAAAACGTCTAGTCGAAGCAAAATAAATTTGATAAGTAAAATTGAAATGATTGGTAAACTTAAAATAAATTCAACACTAGACGCCGCGGTATAGGCGAGTTATCAGGTAAAAATATTTAAAACGTCACCTAAGTGACCAATAACCAAAGTGACCCGAATATCGACAATGTTTATTTTTTATACATTATATATTTTACACAAAACATTTGTGATTACCAATTTATTTATTTCATTTGCCATTTTAAAAGTCAATCTTTTAAAACACACATTTAGATTATCTCAGCTTGACAGTAAAAGTGAGCATAATGTCACTTGACCTATGTTGGCCGGTAGCGTCCATTTTAAAGCCACGAGAAATTTTACCGTAAGTTTATAAAATGTCGCGGGCAACTTTTAAATCCGCGAGATTTTATGTCGAATTTGTATAAAAAGTCGTGGCTTATAGAAACTATTTTCTGTCAAACTTTTTTCGTAAAAAGGTGAAGTTTCCAAAGAAAACCGCGACATTTTCTGTCTTCATAGCAGACTAAGCAACACAAACATAATTATGTATACTTTAGATAGCCACTTGTGGCCATTATAATCCGCGAGATTTTTTATGCATACCTCATAAAATGTCTAGTTAGAACGTTAACTTTTGACTTTTTATACCGGGAAATATCTCTGCGCAAAAAATCGCCGCGATATTTTATGACACTCTTGTTGAGGAATCATTCATTTTCCCCCTCGTCTTTTTGCAGAATTTTTACAACACTTGCAAAAACGTGGCGGATTTCTTTCTGTTCCTCGACTTTTTTAGACAATCGAGGGATAATCTGTAGTGTCAAACCATGGACGCTACCGGCCACTGGAGTCAAAATGTACCTTGCTGTTCCCAACAACTGTTCTAAAATATCGAGGTTTATACGTTCCCCGCGACATTTTGCACGTAACTGCAGAAAATCTTGTATGTTGCCCGCGACATTTTATGATAAACAATAAAAATTTTCGCCGCAACCGGCCACCATATCTACTTACTTTTTTATCGAATGTATGGTAGCGGTTATGGCCCAAAATCCAGTGAATACTTTTCACCGACTTAGCGGGTGATTCACTCCTGGAAATCGGTGTAGGTGTTGGCTCTAACCTGGTATGACGTGACGAGTAATCGTCATCATGAACACGTGAATGATTGCTAAAAATAGAACAATAACAATATAGTGACTCATTCGCAAATTTAACAAAAACAAAACAAAAGAACAACATATATATCAAATGAAAAGAAAATGATTCTATCCAAAAGAAATTTGTGAGAGAAATACATTGCATCTGTCAATGAAAGAAAAACGTTACATTAGTTCCATTTCAGTGTATTAAATATCTACAGTTGAAATATAGGAACACTTATATAAAATAGAATGTTTAATTGTTTATTGATCATATTCTTCCGGAAACATGTGTACTATTATTCAACGCTGGTTAGTGTTTAAATCTTACTTGAAATATTCTAATTGTCTGATTCCAGGAACGAATATCTAATTATATAGTTTATGTAATAGAAAGAGCACCGAAACACGAGGTTATCTGATTTGTACGAGGGGGCCTAGCCCCCGAGTATTAATCAGATTACCGAGTTTTTTGGTGTTCTTTCTCTTTTGTATCATAGTCAAACATAAAAACACGTTCCCTGTTGTCACAATATGAAACCCCGTCAAAAATGAACCAATGAGCGAACATCTGAATATGATATTTCTGTCGCTTTCCCTTTCTCTGCCGTCACAATATGTAAACCCCAGCAAAAATGAGCCAATCAATGGGCATGCTCTGGAGTGCGGGTAACTAATACCCGCACTCCAGTTAACGCACTGTGCATGTATATGTATACGATTTAACCCTGACACATTTTCAACAGAAAGGTCTCCAAACTATGATACAATACTATATTGTATCATAGTTTGGGGACCTTTCTGTTGAAAAAGTGTCAGAGTTAAATCGTATACATATACATGCACAGTGCGGTAACTGGAGTGCAGGTATCAGTTACCCGCACTCCAGATCATGCCCGTTGATTAGCTCATTTTTGCTGGGCTTTACATATTGTGACGGCAGAGAAAGGGAAAGCGGCAGAAATATCATATTCAGATGCTCGATCATTGGTTACTTTTTCCCGGGGTTTAAAATTGTGACAACAGGGAACGTGTTTTTATGTTTGACTACGATACAAATGAGAAAGAACACCAAAACACTCGGCAATCTGATTTATACTCGGGGGCTACGCCCCCTCGTACAAATCAGATATACTCGTGTTTCGATGCTCTTTCTATTACTTAAACCCTGTTTAGGCAAGCGTCCATTTTAGAATGGTATCAAAGTGTAGTAGCATATAAAGATTCGTTTTATTACTTAAAACTATCTACATTATTTTGAACCTACCTTGTTCTTTCATTAATTAATACTCATTAAAATGTTTGCTCTTTTACTAATGCTGTGACTTTACTTCCTAAATTAAAATCCATCCGAAATAAAAACATGTTATCATAATTATCAAGTACAGATTATAAACATACCTTTGATAGAGTTGTAGATGGGAATCGTCAATCTCTCTCCCCATGTTCCAGGGTACCGCTCGGACAGTGGGGGTTATTGCAGCGTTCTTGAATCTTGGGGCAGTTGCCGAGTACGGGCTCGTACTTTTGAAGGATTTTGGTGGCGGGACGAGCATCCGTATCTGTGGGCTTAACTCCGGTATTCTGAGGGAAAAACACATATTTCAGATTTGTAGGTTTCTGTATTCTATTACATGTCAATATGCATTTTAAGGGGCGACTAATTTCTTCAAATCTGAATAATCTTTAGCTCGCAGTTCTATCCCATTGTATCGGAGACCGTGCATGTAATAACAATTTGGCTAGTAATCCTTTAAACTTTAAAGATACGTACATGTAACATTAATTTACAATTTTCTGTAACATTCACATCAACAAGTCACAGGGCATATATGTAAAGGAAGTTCTTAAAATATTATCAATTTCCTAAACCTTTTTTTCTCAGAACCGGAACATTATTTCCGGAATTCATTTCAGTAATCCGAACGCCAAATTTCATTTAAATACATATTACATAGGTTTTAAGCAGACATTAACATATGTTTTATCACTTCAACTCCTTTTTAATACATATTCCCTCAATGGTTTTTAAGAAAATTAAATATCAATTATATGTACCTTATGATTTTCTCATAACCATACCGGCTCCATACTTTATCGTTTGATTTAGACTCGTCATGCCCATGCGAATTATCTGTATCGGAGTTCGGCGTCAGATCCCCGGGTCGCGGCGACAGTCTAGGTAATCTATACGGTGTACAACTTGATGTCATGTCGTCATCATCTAATGACAAATTAAACGAAGACTCCCGGGTCATAGGTTGTGGGAGACGACCACTGTCGGGCTGCCCACGTGACTTGTTCCATCTGCAAAACATAAAATAAGCTTACAAATTACTCCTGATACAAAGTTCATTAAGTGACATTACCAAAAAGGTTTTCTTTTCAATTAATTCGCTTTTCTTCAAAATCCGTTTAAACTAAAAACAGTATTTTGTTAAATCGAGACAAAGTTAAACAAATGAAGAAGAAAACAATTGCCTGAATAAAAGAAGAAATTAATATATAGCAAAAAGATATATCCATAACTATATCTTAGTGGCTGTCTTTGGTGCTTTGTAGGAGCACATTTGTCTCGGAGCACATTTGTCTCACGAAGTGTGACCGATGTGTTTGTAAACATTCATATTTGCGGCAAATTGGAAATGAGACAGATGTGTTCGATACACAATAGGAAGGACACTCGAAACACATTTGTCTCACGCGATAGCTATGACGTACGCATGCTGATATGTATTCCGCATTTGGACACTGACCGGGATCCTCGCAAAGTTCGATGAATAGTTCAATGCCCCGTGTATATGTCGAACCTACAGCGGTTAGGGACAAGTGGTTGTTTTTTTTTTAATCAATCGGCTACGGAGGCCCTTAAATGATCTATGGAAGAAAATAAGAAGACCATTACACACGTATTTTGTTTTCATCAGAAATATATGTATGTAAAAATCGTCATTTTCCAAGAATTGCGGCTTTCAGATCCACCATTGAAAAAGCACTTACAACATGTATTCATGAGTTCCTGTAATGCCATAATTATGGAATATCGGACGACTCAGAACCGTGCGAGACACGACATTCCGATGAGACACGAAGCGAGGCACGATATTGTAACACGAGATCTTACAATGTCGAATTATCCCGTACCACGAGATTTCAGAAATGAATACATTTTTACTTCTTTAGATAGAGCAAGTAATTCAAATAATGATTTCTGAGGAAGTTAGATGCTTGTAATCTAAAGAAATTCGCGATAAATGTGAAATAATGCGTCATAAAAAATGTAGTATTTTGACTTCAATACAAAATTATAAATCACTTCAACTGTACAAACTGCAAAAAAGCAGCAGATGAAAAATGCTTTAGGTAATTAGCTAATGAGTAACTTTTTGGAGCTATAAAAGTATACAAAAATACAAAGCTTTTAAGGAATACAAATAAAAGCATTTCTCTGGCATAATGGGCCTTTAAGTGATTTTATGTAGACTATAAAGGGAATACTACTTAGCGGTATATGACCTGGAATCAATTTCTTATCTCGCGTCGACGAACTAGATGCGAAGCGAAATGCGAGATTTCGGCAAGATGCGAAACGAGTCACGATATTGTCATTCAATATCAACCGATTACGGTGTTCTGTTTGGACATAAGTAACATTTTGACTCCCTGAACAGCTATGCGCAATGGTACAAAGGTGAAATTGAGGTGGTACGATGATTAAAACACGATGACACGATAGTGAAATCACGATGATGCGATGACACGATAGAGAAAATAATATCGCGTTTTCATCATCATGCCATCGCAGTTTCATCATATCGTACCATCGTATTTTCGCCATCGTAACATCGTCTTTCACCATAGTATCATCACGTTTTCATCATCGAACCTTCGTTGTTTCACCATCGTACAATCGTTGTTTCACCATCGTACAGTCGTTGTTTCACGTTCGTACCATTATGTTTTCACCATCGCACCATCGCGTTTTCATCAACGTAACATCGTGCCACCGCGCTGTCACCATTGAACCATCGTGAACGGGATTTAGTTTGTTTCAGTGTACGCCTTCAGGTTAAGTCAATCAATGTCTTGAATTAGAGATATTATAATTAATATTTCACTTTAGGTTTTCATAAAGAAAGCATAAGCAAACCTATTGATGATTACACTTGACATGAGGTAAAACGGCGAACCTCGATTCTAAAAAAGAATTTCTGCCGTGGGAATAATGTGACAAATAATTCATAAAAAATGACATGAGACAAATGTGCTTTCTTGTCCCTTTAAAAACACATGAGACAAATGTGCTTTCTTGTCCCTTAAAAACTTGATCGGAGCACATTTGTCACACAAATGAGTCTTTTGGGGTAGACATTTGAGGTCCCATTTGTCTCATGTGGGACAAATGCGACCGCATTGGTCTTACGTAGGACAAATGTGCTCCGAGACAAATGTGCTCCTACATTGCTTTTATTCTACAATGTATTAAGGTAGAACGCGACACTTTGCGAACTTTCAAGGAGCGTCTCGTAAATAAGCATGTAAAAATTGATCATATTTCTGATTAGATTCCGTTTGATTTTATTTCAATAGTTTCAGCCAATTTTTTTACACACGACATCAAAGTTGTTTACCATTAAAGCTCGTTTTTGTACATGACGTCGTTGCGAACCCTTGGCAACTGTTACGGGTACCTGCCAATTTTCAAGACGCTACTCGAAAGTTCGCAGTGTCGCGTTCTACCTTAAAGTAATACACAAAGTTTGTCGTTTTGTAAAGATTCAAGTAGAGTCAGCATTAATGACATACAAAATACGGCTGCACCGTTCCATATTCATCTTATATTCCGCACTTTGAGGTCAAAATCGAGAAATGAACCCCAAAGAGCGTTAGTATGCTACACATCAACGCAGTTTGGGTTCCAAAGTTCTGAAGGTGTCAACTTAGTATATATACTAAGTACTGCCTTATTTTCGATCAGCAAACTTGATTCATTAAGGTGAAGTTCAAGATGATATTTGATTCGATATTTAAATACATCACTGTCATTTAAACTCTGTTGTAGCAGTAATAAAGTAATTTGAGAAGAAAATATAGTTTGTAAAACAATTAACATCTACACGGAAAGACCATGATCACTCGATCATTTAATTTATTTTTGGCAAAAGCTGTCGTTTGAAGTCTTTATGTCATTGATTCAAATAATTACGTTTGTCAGGTATCAATCATGTAATTTCGTGAAAAATTAATGCCGCTATTAGTATCAAAAGTACATGTAGTCTTATTGTCCGAAATTTTTGGATTTTTTTTGGGACTTCAATGAAATGACATGAGTGAAATTTAATACATGTAAGCTTAATCAATGAAATCGTATCTCTTTTATGTCCCACCAACACTGCTGCCATTTTGATATGATCGCCAAATCAGAAAATTGATGACATATTTTTCAAAAATTACCTAAAAATAATGACGTGAATTTCATCTAAATATGCATTTATAATCGCAACAATTTAGAATCGATCTTGGAAGCCATCTTAATGTTTCATTTTTCCATTGTTGACAGCATTTTAGGAGTACATTTGTCTCGGAACACATTTGTCTTACGTAAGACCGATGCGGTGACTTGCGGTCGCATTTGTCCCACAGAGACAAATGGGACCTCGAATGTCTATCCAAAAAAACACAACTTATTTGTATGACAAATGTTCTCCGATCCAGTTTTTTTCAAGGGACAAGAAAGCACATTTGTCTCATGTTTTTTAAGGGATAAGAATACGCATTTGTCTCGTGTCATTTTTTATGAATTATTTGTCGAGGTTCGCCGTTTTACGACCGGGGTTACACCGGGAAAGCACCGTAGTACTGCCGGCACAAATCGGGGATGATCCGGAGTGTGATATAGCCGGTCAATGCTGACAGAGCTACGGTTGATCCCGACAGAGCCTTGGAGGATGACGATGAAGCTACGGTTAATCCCGATAGAGCCCCGGCAAAGTCCGGTTCATTTAAAAAGAATCACGGCAATTTGCGATGATTGCACTTGTTTGTATTTAAACCCTTCCCATTTCCCTTCTGTCCAGTCTTGCATTATTCAGAAAATCATCATGAATAACTTATAAAATAGGAGAAACTATCATTTAAAATTGAAACAAATGGAGTTACAACTAAAACTTAAACAAACACGTATCAACGTCATAATATTCGCGCGTTTTCTATCCATCGGGGTTCTACCGGGGTTCTGCAGGGATCGTCCTAGGCTCTGTCGGGGCTCTGTCTGTGTTGACCGGGGCTCTGCCTGTGTCATCCGGGGCTCAGTCATGACATTTCCGGCATTTGTAAAACTTGTGAAACGCCAGTCTGATATGCAAGAAAAATAATGTTTGAACTGAAATGCAGATAACTCGGAAAGGAGGCAGACGACATCTATTTTTTTTTACATAAACTGTTTCTGTTATCTCATATATTAAGATCATGTGTTTAATTAAATTATATTACGTATATATATGTAACCACAGCATATACACAGTAATTTTTCTCATTTAATTGGGAAGAGGCCTTAGCCTCTTGATTTTGGGAAAACTTATCGCCGAAATTGCTATTTTGGGAAGCAAAAAGGCATGTTTAAGTTCAGATTTTTGGTAAAACTGTATGATTTTAAAGAAAATTTCAATTGGGAAGAGGCCTTATATTGGGCTCTGTTATATAAGCAGGAAAATCACTGACCCAGTATATTTTTCAATATTTTTAAACTCAAAATAAAAGATAAACATTGTAATCTTCTATAAGTCAGATTAATCAACAGTGTTGTAGCACGCATTCTTAAGATAATATTTTATTCAAATTTCATCTATAGATACGATTTTATCTTAAGTTGCCAAATGACCTTGGAGTGTTTTGTTAGTTGGGGGCTTTAAAGTACCCCCAAAAAAGCAATTTGACAGCCGGCGAATTCTATAAGCTGATATGCATTTACCTTTCAACGATTTAAGATTATAGCGCGTGTACTTTAACACCAAAATAATGTTATATAAATTGCAATTTTATCTCACAATAAGATCTCCTAACATTATGTTGAAAACGCATTCTTGGAGGCCATGATTTGAAATCCTGGCTACACTGTCAAAATTTGTCGCCAGATGTTTACAACAAAGGCGCTAATCATTTAATCTTTATAAATGATTTAGATAATTCGAAGTAAATCTTCTCGCATGTACGAGAAATGACTCATCTTGATGCAAGCGGTTATTGAATTTCTGTGGTTACTTAGCATTTAAATATATGTGAATTGTGTTATTATTTGTAACATTCGAAGAGTCCATTGGCAGTAAGACAGACGTTATTTATTTTTGTTTGTTTTAAAATGCTATATGACAGATGATTTTCTCAGTCTCCATTGACGGTCAGACACGCTGTATTTAACATTGAATCTTTTTCTCATGACCGTTTGCTTAAATGACGGGTGAGTTCATTTTACCGAACATTGTACCTATACAGTATATAATCGCTCAAAGAACGCTTACCTAAGTACATGGCTCCCTCTGTATGGATCACTTAAAATCACAGGGGGCTGTACCGGCGGTATCGCAATTGGTGGTAAATGAAAATCCACACTCATTTTATTTAATGTTTTCTTTTCCTTTTTACGAAGCAAATAAAACACAATGAAAATATTTTTTTGCAAATTGTTTGTATTTGTCAATTTTTATAGTTTGAGAATAATAAACACTTTTTGCAATGAATAACGTCATTTCAGATCCTTTCAAAAATAAACAGCAAAATAATCCTTTTCTTTTGTTTAAATCATTTTTGACAAATTGATTATCAAACGTTTTTGTAAAAGAAGTTCTTGTGAGGCATGCGGATTTAGAAGTATACCTTTTGAATAAATATCCATTTTTCGAGTATCTTAGTTGAAAAAAAGCAAGAGATTTGTTTGAAAAGATACAATTGAATTTCAGATTTAAAAGCAATTCGATAATGTATTCAAATGTACCTATAATTATCACTGTGTAACTTAAGGGATATTGATATGTTTATAAAGCTACGTGATATCCGACTACTATTACATTATTTAGTTAAATAAACCTCACATTTCGCGGCTTTAACTTATTTATGTATATCCCCCACGAAATCAACACAATTCCACATTACAAACTGTATCAAAATATAACTTAATAAAAGAATACGCCCTAATTTTGTTCCAAACTATGTCAATTAAACTCTTAAAATGTTTACAACTTTGTTACAAATATATTGTCAATATTTCGCCAAGCGGGGATATTTCACGTATCAAATTACCACTTTAAAAATCTTTTTTTATGAATACAAATATCGGGTTTATTCAATAATTTTGACAGCACGTTACAACTAAATAGAAGGATAATCGATGACATGTAGAGCATTTATTATTTGATCAATGTTTCATTAATACCAGCTTTACTACACTAGTAGTTTTTTTTATCGGATAAGCACGCGCACTTAAGAGATTAAACAGTTAAGACGATGCACGTGCTTTACATGTATCACTCAGGTTATATAAATGTGACAGTTTGCAAGATCATTTAAAATCGGAACTGTTAGCAGTTGCGTATTGGCGCACATTAGTCGTTTCCACCCAATCACCACCCCCCCCCCCATTTTAAAAGTAGTTTATTTATAAGTTCTACCAGTTCTTGTTAAATACATTGTTCCATTAATTGTCAAGAAAGCAGGAAATGATGTAAAATACTTTGTTGTTTTTGTTTTTTACTATTTTGTTGTTTTATTTTCAGGAGGGGATATATACTTGTACTTAAAATGTTTCTTCGTTTCATCATTTAAGCCTATTAAGCAAATACTTATAGAAATTGCAGCTTTACTTTGGATTGTACATTGTAATATACGTTATATTTAAAACATGATATGTTTATATTTTCAGTATGAAATTTTTGCCCTTCTTACCCGAACGTGTGGACTCACACCTGATAGTAACTTATATAACTGCTTTGGAAATGTTTGAATTCAAAATATACAACAATTTTAACAACGTTTTTATTAAAAAAACTTTAATTCATAAAACATGTGGAAATATCCTGTACAATATGTCATCATCATCCATCCGTCCGTTCGTTCGTTCGTTCGTCCATCCGTCCGTCCGTCCGTTCCGTCCGTTCCTTCCTTCCTTCCTTCCTTCCTTCCTTCCTTCCTTCCTTCCTTCCTTCCTTCCTTCCTTCCTTCCTTCCTTCCTTCCTTCCTTCCTTCCTTCCTTCCTTCCTTCCTTCCTTCCTTCCTTCCTTCCCATTCATTCATTCATTCATTCATTCATTCATCCTAAGCGACGTGATCGAGGGGATGTTATTCATACAGTATCTTTTATCAATTCTTAATTATCTGCACTTTGGTCTAGCCTAACTTATATTACATAATATGTTTTCGTTTTTTTTCCTTTCATGGATATACAAAATTTATATCGTAGAAAACAATTTGAGATTGATTTATACTTCTGTTAATATATAATATATACCAATCGTTTTAAAAAGTCATGTACATATTTACAAATTCACAAAATGCTATTTGATATTATTTCAATTTGCATAATCACCCATGACAATGTTTAGATGATTTAGCAGACATTTATATTGTGTTTTATAATCTGTTGTAGGGTCAGTCGTAAAATATATTTAATCTGATTACACGGCTTATCTTTTCAAGCATGTCAATTGACCCATATTTGACAGTAGAATGTCACTATACTTCACAAAAAAGTTTTTGAACACACCAAAAAGTTCATAAAAAATTGTCCATACAATTTAAAGTTAAAGAACATTTGTTAAATTCATTTATCACTCAACGCTATATTACATGTATTTTATCATTCGCATATATATTATATCATTTAATGTCATTAAACCATCCACTGTTATATCATTACTGCCATTATACCATTCACTGTTATATCATTTACTGCCATTATACCATTCACTGTTATATCATTTACTGCCATTGTACCATCCACTGTTATATCATTTTCTGCCATTATACCATTCACTGTTATATTCATTTACTGCCATTATACCCATTCACTGTTATATCGTTTACTGTCCTTATACCATTCACTGTTATATCATTTTCTGCCATTATACCATTTCACTGTTATATCATTTACTGCCATTATACCATTCACTGTTATATCGTTTACTGTCCTTAATACCATTCACTGTTATATCATTTTCTGCCATTATACCATTCACTGTTATATCATTTACTGGCCATTATACCATTCACTGTTATAGTCATTTTCTGCCATTAAACCATTCACTGTTTATATCATTTACTGCCATTATACCATTCACTGTTATATCATTTACTGCCATTATACCATTCACTGTTATATCATTTTCTGCCATTATACCATTCACTGTTATATCATTTACTGCCATTATACCATTCACTGTTATATCATTTACTGGCCATTATACCATTCACTACCACATTATATATTTCACTGCTACATTATATATCATTCAATGACATTTTATTATCTGTTGATATTTTATATGATTCACAATTACATTAAATCATTCGTTACCGCATTATATCATTCCCTGCTACATATAAATCATTCACTGACATATTTTATTATTTACTGATATTTTTATATGATTCACTATTACATTAAATCATTCGTTACCACATTATATCATTCCCTGCTAAATTAAATCATTTACTGAAATATTTTATTATCTACCGGTATTTTATATGATTCACTTTTATATTAAATCATTCGTTACCACATTATATCATTCATTGCTACATTATATCATTCCCTGCTAATATTAAATCATTCGCTGCTTCATTATATCATTCACTGATATATTTTATCATTCACTGCTACATTATATCATCACTTTTACATTATATCATTCACTGCTACATTTTTATCATTCACTATTACATTACATCATTCACTGTTCCATTATATCATTTACTGCTACATTATATCATTCACTGGTACATTTTATCATTCACTGGTACATTTTTATCATTCACTATTACATTACATCATTCACTGTTCCATTATATCATTTACTGCTACATTATATCATTCACTGCTACATTTTATCATTCATTGATTCATTTTTATTTACTGATTATATATGATTCATATTGCATTAAATAATTTGTTACCACTTTATATCATTCACTGTTTCATTATATCATTCACTGCTACATTTTATCATTCACTGCTACATTATATCATTCACTGCTACATTATATCAGTCACTGCTAAATTATTTCATTCACTGCTACATTATATCATTCACTGCTACATTATATCATTCACTGCTAATTTATTGCATTCACTGCTAAATTATTTCATTCACTGTTACATTATATCATTCACTGCTACATTATATCATTCACTGCTAAATTATTTCATTCACTGCTACATTATATCATTCACTGCTCAATTTTATCATTCACTGGTACATTATATCATTCACTGCTACATTATATCATTCACTGCTACATTATATCATTCACTGTTTCATTTATTCATTCACTGCTACATTATATCAGTCACTGCTTCATTTTACATTCACTGCTACATTATATCATTCACTGCTACATTATATCATTCACTGCTACATTATATCATTCACTACTCGATTAAAATCATTCACTGCTATATTATATCATTCACTGCTACATTATATCATTCACTACTCGATTAAAATCACTCACTGCTACATTATATCCATTCACTGCTACATTATATCATTCACTGCTACATTATATCATTCACTGCTACATTATATCATTCACTGCTACATTTTATCATTCATTGATTCATTTTTATTTACTGATTATATATGATTCATATTGCATTAAATAATTTGTTACCACTTTATATCATTCACTGTTTCATTATATCATTCACTGCTACATTTTATCATTCACTGCTACATTATATCATTCACTGCTACATTATATCAGTCACTGCTAAATTATTTCATTCACTGCTACATTATATCATTCACTGCTACATTATATCATTCACTGCTAATTTATTGCATTCACTGCTAAATTATTTCATTCACTGCTACATTATATCATTCACTGCTACATTATATCATTCACTGCTAAATTATTTCATTCACTGCTACATTATATCATTCACTGCTCAATTTTATCATTCACTGGTACATTATATCATTCACTGCTACATTATATCATTCACTACTACATTATATCATTCACTGTTTCATTTATTCATTCACTGCTACATTATATCAGTCACTGCTTCATTTTACATTCACTGCTACATTATATCATTCACTGCTACATTATATCATTCACTGCTACATTATATCATTCACTACTCGATTAAAATCATTCACTGCTATATTATATCATTCACTGCTACATTATATCATTCACTACTCGATTAAAATCACTCACTGCTACATTATATCATTCACTGCTACATTATATCATTCACTGCTACATTATATCATTCACTGCTACATTATATCATTCACTACTCGATTAAAATCATTCACTATTACATTATATCATTCATTGCTACATTATATCATTCACTGTTTTATTTAATTCTTCACTGCTACATTTAAATCATTCACTATTACATTACATCATTCACTGCTCCATTATATCATTCACTGCTACATTATATCATTCACTGCTACATTGTATCATTTACTGCTACATTATATCATTCACTGCTACATAATATCATTCACTGCTACATTATATCATTCACTACTCGATTAAATTAATTACCTGCTACATTATATCATTCACTGCTACATTATATCATTCACTGGTATATTAAATCATTCTCTAATTTACACTACTTAGACATTATATCATTTACCAAATCATTATATCATTCACTAATATATTCTATCATTCACTGCTCCATTATATCATTCACTGCTACATTATGTCATTCACTGCTCAATAATATTATTCATTACTACATAATAATTTTCACTGATATATATAATCGTTCAATTATTTCCATTACCAATACATTATATCATTTAAAGAAGCATTATATTATTCATTGACACATTATATATTATTTACTGTGGCAATATACTATACAATATATTTTTTTCACTGAAACACCATGATATCATTCACTGTTATCTGATACAATATTCACTGATATCTGATACAATATTCACTGATATTTGATACAATACTCAATGATATCTCATACATTATTCACTGATATATGACACAACATTCACCGATACCT